TTTTAGACATCTCAATAAATCCCCATGTTTTTATTGCTTTTTTCCTTGTGGGGGTGAACAAAGTAAATAGTTATTATCATTTTAGATATAAGTTGCAAGTAGCAGCCACCTAGTACTGTGCCCTCTGGCCAGAGTTTTGTGGGACTGGGTTTGTCACATACGTGTGATGTGAATTAACAACCAACTTAAGTCACCAAATACAATGACAAAAAGGTTTTAAAAAAAGGAAGTTTAATAAAGACTCGAGCCTTAAACGACAGAACTACACCCGGTAAAGGGCTGTAAAGAGATGCAAATGAAGACGGCACGCTGCACTTTTTTCTCTGTCTTTCTCAGTCTGGGTGGCTTACACCTCAAAAACACCGGAGGGGATTTAGTCTCATATTCTGGTTATACATCTAATAACATACCGACTTAAGGACAACACCCCCCTGTTCCCTAATTATGACGTAAAAGCATGATGTGATTTATCCTGCAGCTGGAGTTGGAGGGAGCAGCTCGGTGATATGCCAAATGGCTCCGATTCTCTCTGCATTGACAAAGTGTCTGCCACTTTCCCCATTCACCCACAGCTAGGGTGGCGAATGCTTAATGACAGCAGAGGCCCTCGGACCAAGGACTTGTGACAGTTGTGTCCTCTGACATTTACATCCTCTGTCAACATTTTCCAGACGGTCAGAGTGTGTAATACAGATCACCTTTATCTGCTGTCCGGTGGCGAGGATATCAGCGTGAACCTTGTGGACAGACAGTCTGCATGAGGAAAGGAAGACTCTGGAGGCATGTTGATTAGTGTATGATAATGTTAATCCTTTCCTGGATAGTTTCAGTGACTTATTGATAGATGGAAGAGAGGGTAAGTGGATCAGCATTAAAAAAGACAAGGCTAAAGCAGCTTTTTGTTTATTAAGAGGAGTCAGCATATTACAGAACAGGTGTAAATCAACTTGTGACAGAATTAGTTGGAGAGGGCATAAAACATGAAAGCATCAATAACAGCATCCCCACCCCCACCCCAGTTCTGAAAAGCGTTAAAAGCATTTCATATAATTACTTTTTTAATTATTCAGATTGAAAAATGCACAAAAGTTATTCATAGAAATCAAATTCTTAAAGACTGCTGGATTCTATTTAATTGTTACCTGTAACATAATTAGAAATGTAGGGTCTTCTACACACCAGTTACAGAGCAGTAACAATACATTTCGCCTTTACACACATTGTTAGCCTTTTGTGGTTAGAGCAGAAGTTATTGCTCCCTATTCTTCTAAACAAAGCGGGCTATTGCATCACCAGTGAAAACCAGCTGACTTTCAGACCCGGTAAAACATCCTTTTATACTTTCGTGTCCTTTGTCCGCGTTTTCCAGCTCAGGAACAACCTGGGCTGGTTCGTCTGTTTTCTTTTTGTGCGTCGCTTTAAAAAAAAAAAGAAGAATCCACTTCCAGGTCCCTTTTCTTTAATTGCTTTGTTGTGAATTGAAGTCTTGGTCCAGCGCTATAATCCACAATGAGATGCGGTGAAAACACGGCGGCGCGGGACGCGTTCACTGGACAGAGCGTTTCCTCAAATGGGAAGAAACTTAGTTTAATCTCTTCCTTATCTTTGTATAGTTTGTCTCCTCTTGCCGTTTTATCGTGTGTGTAGCACTGATTCACAAAGTGAATGAATGGGGGGGATGAAACTTGAAATGGAGATGAATGGTGCTGGTTTGGTCAGAGGAGTCATCGCGATATGTTCCTCCTCCAGCGCCGGGGTGATTAAAGGATTGTCTGATGGCGCGGGGTGAATGGATGACTGTTTCCTGTCGCATCCTACAGTGACACATAAGACGGGACCTCTCATAGTGTAAATCAAACACGTTGAGTGAGAAGCTGCTTCCCTCCCGGTGGTCCCAGTTTCAAAGCCCCGAGTCCATCATCCTTGACAACAACATAACCTACATCTACAGAAATATTTCTTAAAAATAAAAAGGAAAAAAAGAAAAAACAAATTAGATGCATATTACTTCCAGGTAGGATGTCCTGAATGGAAATAAGTTTAAACGCCGCTAGCATCACTTGTTCTTATTAATAGTTGGTCTACAGAAGGACCACTTCCCCATATGTAAATATGACCATCCACTGGGAAGGCGTGGTCTGATCGGCCGGTGTCCAATCATAGACAAAATATGAGCTGCACTGCTCACTCCAGGGAGGCTTTGGTTGATTTATAGTAATGAATTCCCATTTTGTTCTATCTGTTCAGCACAAATAGACAAAAGCGAAAAAATGGGGATTTATACATAGACAAAAAACAGATGCGCGTGTAAAGAAAATCAAAAATCAAAAACCCTGCTAGTAGCTTTGTAGTGGCAATTTCAGCTCACTTTGCACGCACATCCTTCAAACAAGATGTGGTGGAGCTCTATTTCCATAGAAACGCATCTATGTCTCTATTTTTCCAATGTCTTTGGGTTTTTTTTTTTTTACACAGCAGCTCCGAGCAAAGGAACTATGCTGTTTCAATATCCAATTGAGGTGAAACTTCCTTTCTGCATGGCAGATTGTTGAATTTGATCTTAGCTACACCCATGTCCGCTCTGCGGACTCAGAGGCATAATGACACAGATAACATCCGAGAGTCAATTTGCTCCATTTGGAGCCTCTAGATTCGGACTTTTATTATTTCCTCGCTGGAAGGTTAATTTGTCCAGTTATAGACTGCATCTTTTGTCACCGACTTTACCAATTAATCAGTGACAGTCCGGTTATTAAATCTTATTTAGAATTTGGGTAATTTAAGTTACTTTCCATGCATTTTCAATTTGGCATACCAGTAGAAATGTTACATTGGCATCTGAGGAAAAGCCAAACTAGTTTTTCTTTATTCCTATAAATGTTATTTACGAGAACTACTTCCATGCTTCGGTAAATGATTTGTTCCCTGCAGAAAGTGGAGGGGATGGAGATGAAAAAGGAGCTCGGCAGGGTTAAAATGGCCGCCATCCATTGACTATACTCAGATGATTTGTAGCCTATTGGAGTTGCTCGTGAAATCCTGATTTCTTTTTATTTTTTCATTTCGAAATCAGATTAGATAACCTTAAAAGCTTTGGTTACCGGGGCCGGGATTCTAAGTGCCTGCTCAGCTGCATTGCTGGTGTGAAGTGGAGTTTTTGGGATCACACTGACTGTGAACCTGCGCAGATTTAAAGCCGCTGATCATTTCTGCGATAAGAATTCCACTCGCCTTCACGGGGTCCCAAATCCGGGGAGCCATCATCTTTGAAAATGTGAACATAGTAGGGTTTCTCTCCCCCGCTATTAAAGATTGGCCTGTGCTCGGTTAGAAATGTGTTTCTTGGATTTGGAATGCAAATGCTTTGTTCATGAGGAGGAGGGATCAGCGAGGAGCCTGAAAGCGACGACTTTTTGATTAATGAGCTTTGAAATGGCTCTCCAGGAGCAATAAAGGATGAACTGCTCTTTCTCCCCCCTCTTTCTCACCGACACACACACGCACACACGCATTGTTGCATCTTTTCCAATGTCAAAGGAGCAGCGCGCATTTTCCTCTTTTGGTTTTATTGGCACCAATCTTCCCTGCCTTTATTAGGATTTTGAAATGTAGTCTCGCTGATCAATTAGACCTCAGTGATTAGGCTTTGGTCTTTAGGCTACGGGAAAATTGAGCTTATTTTCTTGTCCCCAGCGCACAGGAAAGTAATCATGTGGCCGAGTCTTAAAAAATGATAAGTGACATATGGAGGATGCATTGAGCCCACAGACTCACCTCCCTCATACCAAAAGAACATCAATAATCTCCAGAGCCCTTTATTCCGCTAAAATGCACTTTCCATTGGAAGCATAGAGCCGTCTGATGAGTTTTATATATCCCGGTGTCTAATTATTGATCACATCTGCCTGTTTGGACTGTACAGTAGTGCTGTGAGTCAATAACCCTCCTCGGCCCCGCTAACCGACAGTTCCAGCTGAATGAGGCGTTCAAAGCCATGGGAGGCTGCAGGTTTTCTATAAAAAGCAACAAAATGCAATCAAATATACAAGTTTGAGCACTTTATTTACAAAATGTTAAACACAATAAAATATAACATTTCAATATCATTAGGGTTTCATAAATTTATGGACATCCAACTGAATGGAGTAACAATGGAAGACAAATCAAATATAACAATGGACTACACAAAATGACATGCTGGTGTGTATAATATTTGATACTTCGATAGTCTACATTTCGCTTTAAGGTTTGACACAAGATTAACCATGGACATATAGTGATATTTTATGCACTATAAAATGCCCCCATTTATACCAAATTTACAATTAGAGATGCTCTTTTTTGACAACAACAATCTGCGAGTCTTTAGCATTTTCCGAACCCTGTTTTTCCAACACTTCCAAGTGCACTGCTCGGTCCAACAACATCCAACAACAAAACTCCACACATAAATACTCGCGTATGTGAACGATAAATAATGTGCAATACGAAGGCAATTAAATAATAAATAGGCTTTATGCTGCCGCGAGAGGTTATGAAAAACAAACAAACAATAAAGCAATAAATAAATCGGGTGAGGAAAACGAGATCCTAACGAACAGACGAAAATTGACCTAGAAATCCTTCTCTCTAAAATGAGCTTCTACTTTCGTGATCTACAAGACTTACCTTCAAGTAACGGCATGAAATATTCAAACATTGCGCATTGCACTTTAGAGTAAAAAAAAAAAAAGAAGACTATTGACAACCAGGCTAGTGTGCCTTTGCGCATCCCCAAATATTCAAGAGAAATGAACAAAGCTGCATTATTTAAAAAATAATTACACAATAGCATAATAGTAATATCAATAATACTGTAATAATACACACGACTCGCTTGGAGTGTAGTTATTAGACTAGTGAGGTAATAAAAAGAAAAAGAGCGCAACGTAAATTTGGCACACACACGCACGCACACACGCTTACACTCACACGCACGCACGCACACACAAAACCACCGATTACAAATGTGTGAGTTTAGGCGCTTCCTGAATCCTTCCCTGAGACGCTTGGTGGGAGGTGAGGTCTGTGTATGTGGGGTGGGGATCGCAGGGTCCATGGTGGTGGTTTCCAGGGATCTGGGCGGCACAGCTGTAGTCCACACTGGTGGATGAGGGGTGGGGAAGATGGCCGAGATTGAACATGGGGCCCGAGGCTGGCATGGAATCAACAAAATTCCCACCCACGTAAACGGGGCTGCCTTGCAAATTGGCGTTGGCAAAGCCTCCGTTGCTCTGCATGCCGTGGTGTTCGTACTCGGTGCCCGGGTACCTCTTCTGCTGCGGGATGCAGCCTCCCAGCGGCGCCGTGTACGCGGCCAAGCCGTACATGTTTTGCTGGGGTTTGGCAAACGACGGGGGCGAGGGCGCGTCATAGCTCAGGCTGTTCACGTTCTGCAGCTGGCCAGAGTATCCGACGTGGTTTGGTCCACTCAGCGGCGGGCTTCTGTCCGGGGAGTGTCCCAGGGGGGAGTGAGCGAGCCCTTTAGACTTCTGGTCCTTTTTGTATTTCATCCTCCGGTTCTGAAACCAGATCTTAATTTGGCGCTCGGTCAGATTCAACAGATTGGCCATCTCCACTCTCCGAGGACGACAAAGGTAGCGGTTAAAGTGAAACTCCTTCTCCAGCTCCACCAGTTGCGCGCTGGTGTAGGCAGTTCTGACCCGTTTGGAGGCCGGTCCTGGCGGGCTCTTCTCATCGCTCACCTCTCCACCTGTGAAAGAACCACAGAATCGAACATGAGTCACCCAAACACTACCAAGTGATACCCCACGAGCACCCCAAAACCCTGTCACCCCACCCCCCCAATCCCACGCACGTGCACCCCCCCTCCCCATCACGGTCTCTACCTGCAGCAGCACAGCTGGTGCCCTTCTGCTTTGAGTTCTGGCGGGTCTCTTTCATCCAGGGGAATATCTGCTTGGTGAGGGCCGGCGTGGCCGACCCGGAAGCGCTGCCGGAGGGAGACTTCTTCTTCGGGGCGGCAGAGCTGTTGGGGCTGGGGGAGGAGGCGGACAGGGGGGGCGGCTGCTGCTCGGAGATGCCGTTGGCCTGGCTGCTGCTACTGCCGGTGCTGCTGCCGGTGCTTTGGCCGCCGCTTTGCCGCATGCAGTCTCCGTTCAGGTCGGCCTCCTTGAGGGCCGGTGGCCGGACCGCAGAGGTCTGGATGGGGCACACCGAGCCCTGGTAGTCACTGTCAATGTTGGGGGCCGGGTAGGGCTGGTGTGCCGGGCCGTAGTTGTACGAGTCTGGTTTGGGGTAGGTGTAGCCTCCAAACAGCCCGGAGTTGTCATAGTAGGTTGCTTTCTGCATTTTGTTGATTTAAAGGCAGTAAACCAAAGCAACTCTCTCCAATGGCATGGGTGTTGTTTATTCACGTGATTGGTGTTTCCCACCGTGGCTCCAGTCTGTGAGCTATAAAAAGAAAGATATTAGTCATTACGATTATTGCCCTTCGTGTTACTGATGGATGTTTGAGAGTGGGGGATCACTGGGCCGGGCCCGGGCGTGGATCCAGGTTGCTATGAAGCTCTAGGTTGCTATTAAATAAAACGTCACCCACGCTGGAACAACGCTGCGTGGCCCAGCCTCAGAGAGGAGACCCGTTCGTTTGACTAATTTCTGGCACAAAGCAGTTAAAGTTTAACTTGCGCTAAAAGGACCCTCTGGGAGGCTTTAGGAGTCCCTCACAAATAAGCTGAATCAGCATTTGTCACACGCATGCACATAAAGCCCTTTTCACTAAACACAAAAGCCCCTGCGCTCACTCATTGTCCCCGTGCACACGCATAAGGATAGCATGTATGGATAAATATATATATATATATATATATATATATATATATGTGTGTGTGTGTATAATGTTTGTGTGTATATATATAATTTCTATTTTTTTAATTCTGTTTATATCAAAAGTATGTACGCCATAGTGCGTGAGCGTGCACGGGAGTGCGTGGTGAGAGTAAAAGTTTGGGTGTCTGTTGAATATTTCATTAGCTGATCTCCATTTGGATTTGCAGTTCGGTTTCTTGTCCTCTGTCTCGAGCTGTTCCGTGCAATATTTCCTCCCCCAAATATAATCTGGAAATACATTCAAATGCAGTGGGAGGGAAAAGTGCCCCAAACCCCCCAAAAATGTACGAAAACAAAACAAAAAAAAACACCTAAACAACTAACCCCAAAAAAATATAATGTACGAAAACAAAAAAAACACCTAAACAACAAAACCCCAAAAGCTGCATGGAGCGACAGGGCCCGCGTTGGAACATCCTAAGTAAGCTGCAACAGAAACATCAGCGGGCCGCGCGCTGTCTGCTGGGGGCTCCGGGAGGTGTAGTCTGCGCCGCGCATAACAATTGCACCTGTCAGTGTGGACCGCGGCAGAATTTATGACCGCAAATGTTATGGTTGTAAACGGCCTGAGAGAGGAATGAGAAGCAAAACACCCCTCAAGACTCACAGCCCCTTAGAAGTGTAAAAGCGAGCGTAGGAGGAAGGCAGGGGAAAGAATCTCGTACTCGGCAGAGGCTGGCTTTATAAGCGGTGCCTCCATGCCGGCTGAGTGCTATGGCCCGCAGCTCGACGCAGAGGTGGAGAAAACGCAGCTCTGCCCTTATTTTGTTCTCCTTTTAATTTTGATTCGAATAAGTGCTGTTGTTGGCGGAGGAGCATCTTTTAGGACGAAGCGACGAAATCTTGGAAAATCTAGCAATTTAAAACCTAATTTGCATGCGTTTGCGTGACGTCTTAGAAGTGAAGACTGTAAACATGATGGATTTTTCTTGCTCGTAGGAGGGGTGGGTGGTGGGGGTGGGGGAGGATGATGGCCGTCTCTGGATTAAAGTCGAGCGAAACTGTTGCAAACGAAAAAGAAGGAACCTATTGAAACTGGACTCTGGCCTGCGTAAATAATTACGCGCACGGGCTAAGTTAAGGCCATTCTTCATGTCTCTCGTCGTGATTTAAGCCTCCAGTGAAACACTGTGAGCGTAAATATGCATATAACAAATCACTCCGTGGCCTTGTTAGCACTTGGCTGTGTTGTGCAGTCCCTTTTATTAAAGAAGTGTTACTCACCGAAATCTGCGCAGATCTCTTTTATATCCCTCACGCATTCATCATTGCTTCCATCTTGACCTAGAATACAAATTTAATTAAATGCGATGCCTCATTATTACATTTTTTTGGTCGTTCACAAGAAAGATTGGAGGTTAGAATCAAAGCATATTATAAAGAACAATTGCCTCTACACTTAAAAAAATCATTGTTTTGTATTTTAAAATATTGCAAGTAAAACAAATTCCCAGTTAAAAATATTTCTTGATGCTGATTAGAATCACTATTGCTTGCCATGATATTTCATATTCTTTCTTTTTCTTTTTTCTTTTTTCTCTTTTTTTTTTTTTGAAGGTTTTTTTTTTCTTTCTTTCAGTAGTTCATGAGTGAAAAGTCCTACATGTGCACTTTTCCACAAAGGCCCCGGCCAAATATCTCGCAGCCATAAGCTTTTTAGGTGACCTGCGGGTCATTCAGCATTAAGCCAAAGTTTAATGAACAACGAGGCGTTTGGTTTCAAGTAGACCAAAGTCTCCAAAAAATGCAAAGCTACTTCTCAGCGCCGGCAGTAACAGGGACAAGATGCTCCACCAAGAAGGGGAAAGAAACAGAGCTTAAAGCTCAGAGGCTCCGTTTACTTTCACTCCTGCTGTGTAAACACACTCTCTGGACTGCAGGGTAATTGCTTAAAAAATATGAGCTGAGATTTATTTATAAATGTATTTTCTTTCTTTCTTTCTTTCTTTTTTTTGGTGGAATATTAGTCAGAGCTGGTCGATAATCTCCTCGCCGCCTGGCTTTTGAACACACTGAGCTACTAGCAGCAGACATGCTCCCCTTTTCACATGCCTGTGTTTTTCGCCTACGCGCTGTTACGGTAAGTTTGGTTCTCACAATGGCTCGGACTCAAAGTGGAGTGTTATTATCTCACGCGCTCGTTTGTCCTGCAGGGTTAGACCTTCCAATTCTATTCATGCCTCACGTGAAGCAGGCCGCCCGGCTTTGTCAAAAAGGAATAAGAATTTAAGCGAATGATTAAGCCGTCTTAAAAAAATACGTGAAATAAGAATACGTGGACGGAAGGACAGAGCTCTTCTCGTTGCTGCGGTGAAATCCACGGTGTGTTTTTTTTAGGAGAAATCTGCAAGTTTGTTCATTTCATACCAAAATGAGTTTTTGTAGAAATATGTACGCTTTTTACGCATTTTTGTCTTTGATTTAGTCTGAGCACACAATCAGAAAAAGCCTTTTAAAATGTACAAAAGAGTCTCCCACTGCAGGGTAAAGAATTCGATAAACATGAATGACGCTCTCAAATATTCATTATCTTTTCTTTTTTTAAATTCATAATTTGGAAGTCGACTCCATTCGGAAAACTCCAGTTAAAAGACGGGGAGAAAAGATTCGTATAGATATTCGAAGTTATTTGAGAAGAGGTAAGAAATCCGTATGGAAAGAAAATGGAAGCATTCTTTCGGTTTTTGTTCTTCATTCCGTCCAATAATCCTTTAAAGCATCCCCATAGCATCCATGTGTAATATAACGTTGCAGGTTAACAAAGCCATATAGCTGAAACCACATAAATCACAGCAAACGCCGGCGTGACGATAAGACAACAAATTAATGTGATTTACGATCCAAGAGTCAAAAAGAAAAAAGTTCCACTCCTACTTCTTCATCCTCTTCTTCCTCTGAGTCTGCTTTCGCAAACGTGAAATCAGCTAAAAGCCACATCTAGTTTCAGATGTTCGTTAATATTTAAAAGAGGGCAGAAAATCTGATAAAGTGGGAATCTGCCCTGATGGAGGCCGCCGCGGTGCTCCATATCCGCACAGCTAAAGGCGAGAACGGCATTAACAAGCATCCCATCCTCGGATGGAATGAATCATAATAAATTTCCTCGCATTGTGTTAACCCGTGGTTAAAGGTGGCTTTGCGCCGCGCGGTAGCTTACCTGCGGATCAATTCATCATAAACCAGTTCCCCTCTCAGTCTGAGTTCCTTTCCACGCAGTCTGTGGAATAAATCCTTCACCCTTTGTCTGCAGACAGTGCTGTCCTAAACCTGATCTTGCTGTTTTTCAGACATTTCCTTATACCAGTGGAGTCAGTATTCCCGAAAGAATGGAAGGACTCGCATTCAACTACCAATAAAAAGCGAACAAGGTATCCTTATTCCCAAAAAAAAAAATCACTGGCAATCAATCAACCAGTGAAATATACAGGATAGGCCTGTACAGATTTGCAGCTAACATTCTGATTTTTTTTGTGTGAGTGTTTCGGATGCTTTATGATGGCAAATAACGGCGCTGCCTTTAGATACAAGCATATTTGTTCACGTGATTGTTCTCTTCTTCAAGCAAGCCCTTACCTCACCAGTCCATTTTGATAAAGGGTGGCGTTTATTTCCTCGTCTGAGCTGTGTGATTGTGAAATTGTTCCTCTGTCTACCTCTCACTATTTCATCGTGAATATTGAGGATTGCAGCTCGCCAGCCCTTCAGTATTTAAAGGCGAGCAGCCCTGTTATCTTAGCGAGGTGGCTTTTTTTAATAATACACATTTGCTGAATCTTTGCCTCAAACTGCTCGGAGGTTGCACCACCTTTGTGCAACGCTTGTGCGTAAAATAAGATCTACATTTTCTCCTCCAGAAGGGATGCATTTTCCCAACAGTTTGAAGATCTTCACCTCCACACAGAATTTCACGAAAACGAGTAAAGTGTGCCATTTACGCACCACACAGGAGCCTTTTAAAACGTCTTCTAGTATATTGTACACCAGCATTTCTGCAGCAGGTTTGATGAACAAACGGTAGCAGGGATGTAACATGTGCATCTAAAAATGATTTATGAAATAGGCGACCATGTGGGTTTTTCTTGCAGCCGGCCATGAATTGTATTCAAATAAAGCGCATAATCATCTCGCGTTTGTTGTGTCTGCCTTCACACCCTAGTGCAAAACAAAGACTCACAGAGCCATTGCTTCCTCTTCATTGTTTCCAACGTTGGTTTCATACTAAGCTACGCCAAATAACGTCCATGTTTGATAACGAATGAATAAAGAAATGCGTATAGAAACCAGACTGGATTTGAAGGCGAAGATTTGGAGCCTCGGGGAGAGACCATCGGCTGCTTCAGTGGTGGGTTATCTTTTCTGAGAACAAGAAAGGGTTGCAGGACCGGTAGCGTCGCAGCATATGTTCAGAGGGGTAATAAAAGTGAAAGATTTACAGTTTTCGCCCGGCCCCCCAACAGCCTTACACCCTTTCAGGATTACTGAGAATGATTTACAAGGAGGCAGAACTGTGAGCCTGCCCAAACTTCCACCACTTCTAAGAAATCAACGTCAAATCACCCCTGAACAATAAAACAATAGAAATGTCTCACGGGAAAGAGGAAAGATGCACAACCAGAAATGATTCTAATGTTCCGTTAAACGAGCAAACAAGGTATGCTCACTTCTACCAAGCAAACAGGACACCCACTCCTAATTTGAACACTGCCTTTAAAAAAATGACACATTTTCTATTTGTTCTTTTTCTCTTTTTTCACAATTTCGTGCAAAATGGTTGAAAATCTAAATTAGTATTAAATGGCCCAATAGGGAAAAAAGAGCTGAACGTTTCTTAAAGAGCAAATCTGCACAGCGAGTATCCTAACATGTCAGTTCCATTAAGTTATTTTGAGCGATAAATCCTCTCTGTTCCTTCAATGATACGTGCGTAAAACTTAAAACAGCCAATTTCTCCTATTGCAAACAAATGTAGCTAAAAAGAAAACATGGTTACAGCGACTAGCCTCAGCCTGTGCAAACGCACTCGGAGCGCACACATCAAAGGGAGCAATTTATCAAATATCACGACATTTGATATCGTCATTTACCAGCTTGGGCAACATGAAAAATGCTGAAATATTTACCTACCCAAGCATCCATCGGTTCAGACGTGCAGCTACGGTGCGAGGCTACAGTTGCGACGAGTATCGGATATTATTTTCTTGGGGGATCTCTTCAGTTTTCAAGTCTGATAGAGTCCTTGCGATTAATGACGACGCCGTGTTTCTAGGGGGACGTGCTGCATTAATTATTTAGGCAATCACGTGGTCAAGAATAGAGAGCGGAGTGGTATAGTCTCTGGATTATATCTCTGAATGCAGACAGAGCACTTTAATATATCTTAGGGGGGTTGTCTGGCTCGGAGAGGCTTCTGCGAAAACAGCTGGAAATCAAATATGGCCGGATGGAGAGCAACGACGTTGTATTCCTGCACTGGGTGCAGTGTCATTGGAAATGGCACTGCCTTTGGCTCCCATTTATTGCTGTTCAGACATGTAGGTCAGTGTGGCTACACGCTGCACGTCGTAGTAGGCTGCTCTGCCCCGATAGCTGAGAAAACGATAGTAGCAGGCTTCATTTCACAACCTGCTGTCATGGCAGGAGCTCTGAGCTCCCACATATGATATGAACTGGCTCCCAAATAATAAAAAAGTCACTATAAAATAGCAAAAAAAACTAAGTTAATCACTAGTAGCGTGTGTTAGGTGGGTGGGTAGGCTGTTCCCTCCCCCTCATCATATTCCATAAGTATCTATGTGAGGATGTTTTTTGGCAGGAAGCTGGATTGGTAGCATCACTTCTGAGAATCTGTATGACACACGTTTATATTTCACTCATAAACATTTATGGGCGCGTAAAGGCTCAGAGTTGCACGTGCTTATTGGGGATTAGACAGTGGTCACTGGGGATGAGAGCCGTGTGGCTGCAGATGTCCGTCCACATGTCTGTTTACGGGCTTTGTTTGTATCAGAGATGATTTTGTTGTGTGGAGGGTTGAAGGTCAGTGATGCAGAGGGTCACCTACAATAAAGTCAGACATTTAGCAGCATGGGGGTGTAATATCAACTTGCCATATATGAGGGTTATATGATTACTACACCCCAAGGTAGTATAGCAGCATATAGGAAATAAAGGATGCTGTTTATTTGTTCATAAGAGCAAAAATAAGGGGGGGAAAAGAAAGATTATCTGGTTTTGTGGAAGTCTTCCCATCAAAAAAAGTATTTTTTGACAGTTTGGATTTCACTAGTCCAACAAAATCAGGGGAAAAGTATCACATTTCCCCATAAAGAGCGAAACAATAACTGTGCTGTAATGAAAATTTGCCACGAAAATCATGAAAAGACTTTTCTACGTTTTCTGCAAGGACGTTTTTTGCGCACGGCGTGCTCTCCAATTGATAAGAGTTAATGAGTGAACAGAGTAGTAACTCATCCTTCATCTTTTTTCCACAGATACCATTAACTTATTCTGCACCAGTGACACCGTTATGTGTGTGTGTGTGAGTGTGTGTGTGTTTTTTTTAATGCCAGCCGGAAATTTTCTGGACACTTGGCAGTATCAGCACATGCAGTGCGCATTTGGCCCATTTGTGGATGTTTTCTTTTTTAAAGAGAGCTTTCTGCCCATATGGCTCCACATGTCTGGAACCACACCACCGTTTTAAACGCGAAATGGGACCCTTTTGTTAGGCGAGATTCAAGAGCGAAATGAATCAGCCTAAATAAAGTGTTTCTTATTTAAAACAAAGCAGTCAGAAAAAATAAAAAAATTCTAACTTTAAGATTGGGAAAAATTGTTTCCCTAAAACAAAGTTGAGCAAAAATAATAAAGTAAAAATAGACTCAAATCAATCGATTCAAGAGTGATGAGACAAGAAGTCAGCATTTTTTTTGCAAATATTTAAATGCATAATCAGTAGAAATCTTTATTTTTTTCCAATATACTTCTCACATCTCAATGCACCGTACAAGGTAAAAAGCATGTACAAAAATAAGAACAGAAACTTTTGCATATTGACGTGAGACAAATGCAACAAAAGGAACAACAACCTGAACCCAGAGCGCTGTCGGGGGCTGCGCCGGGTGCCAATACTGCTCAAATAGTTGGGAAAACTGTGGAATTCACCGGCCCTTACTTTGAATGAGCTTTAGTTTTTCTTTTTTTTGGAGCGGGACAGCCCTCCAGAACTGAAGCGAATAGCGCCTGGGAGAGAAAATGCTGCCTGTCCGGCGGGTCAGGGGTGCTGGGGTCAGTCCTCGCGGCTGAAATGTGTCCCCTGGATGAACCTGCCACTGCTGCTTTGTCGACCTTCGGTTGAAATACCTTTTCAACTCTCTCATCACGGAGACTTCAGAAAAGAGACGTCCTCATACTGGGAGAGCTTCTGGGCTCTTTTTTTTTTGTCCGAGGACAATGACGGTAAAAGACAAGATATATCTGTCTTGAAACGTAACAAGAGAGCCCACCTCTCAGTTGGCTTGGCGTAAATGGAGGGGGAGAAAAAAAGGAAAGATTTCCATATTAACTAAGACTAAAACTTTGTAATAAGCCATGCTAAAAATGCACAAGAGTTCGAACGTATTTCAATAGTAATTAAAGCTAAACGAATACTTTTTAAATTCAGCTTTGTGCTATACGAAAAATGTACACGTTTTGTGGGAACAAATAAATAACGAAGTGGAAAGAAATGCATTAAGAAAAATTGAACAGGCTCCTAAATATTCAGGGATTTGGTCATATCCGAGGAGAAACATCCATTATCAATTTGTTGCCATGCAGGAACAAATGATCGTTTCAAATAGCAAAAGAGAGCCTCTGAAAATGTACACTGTTTACAAAGATGTCAGGAGAGATTTATAAGGGCACTCGGAATAGTATGCGCGCAGGAATGTCTTACGTGGAAAAACAAAATCAAAGCTTTTTTTATACAAAATAAGTTAAAATATACAAGTCTTTAAAAAACCGTGTTGCTGAAACATTCAGCGGGATATTTGGAAAAAACTGAACAGAGAAGTTTGAGGCGTGTTTGGCGTGCTCTATGCAAAAAATACTACCTTCAAGTACCTTTTTTGTGCGTTTAATAGAAGAAAAAAAATAGAGAACAATTGTATAATTTAAAAGAACGCCGTTTTGTTTTTTTTAAACAGACATAGCGTTTTAAAAAATGGAGGCGAGGAGAATTTGAAATCCATTAAATGAGCCGAATTTTCTTTAAAAACAAAAAACGTCCAAAAACAGGGAGAAAAAAAACACTGATGTTTCTTGTTTTTTTCTGCTTCTGTAAGGATATAAAAACACAAAGTTTTTAATCCTCAGTTATGAAAACTGAGAGATTTTGTGACTCAGTCGTAAGACAACACTGCTTGGATTTTTTTTTGTTAAATAAAAAAAAGTCTTAAAACGACACCGGTCCATGCAACAGTCAGATGCAACCTCAGTCTCTTTTTGTATGTACATTCGGATTCTAAAGACGTGAACCCCCTCCTTTCTTATAATGCTGTGATATCAGTCTGGTTATCCTTCTGAATGTTCTGCAGATGGCTGGAGGCTGGCGCAGATCTGCCCTTGGTGTTGGGAAGTTTGTGATCTTTCTTCCATTTCATCCTCCTGTTCTGAAACCAGATTTTGATCTGCCTTTCGGACAGACAAAGAGTGTGGGCAATCTCGATCCGCCGCCGCCTGGTCAGATACCTGTTAAAATGAAACTCCTTCTCAAGCTCCAGAACCTGCTGGCGGGTGTAAGCTGTCCTGGACCGTTTGGGCTCTGATCCTGTGTAGTCCGGGTTCACTGGGGGAAAGAAAACAACAACAACAGAAAAGTTACCAAATGTGGCCGGCAGCAGCATACCAGAGAGAAACAATAATAAATAAGAAGAAGGGAGCAACACTAGTGCGTGTAGCCTGCTCGCTGCAGCTTTAAGGGAATCACACGGATGCGGCTCAAGGAAATCATTAATGATTTGGATCTGAATTTAAACAGATTTGCTGCAGATTTAAAAGCATTACCACCGGTCAATATGTGCTTTCAGGAGCTTTCAGACACTCTCCTCGCGGCCTATTTCCTGAGCTATAAAAATTTATGACTTGTGTAATTGTCGAGGCCTCTCAAAGACTCCTATAAATATTACAGTCAATGACTTCTTAACTGCAAGGCTCAGATGCTCCATAAGGAAACGAAAATGGGGGGGAATCTTACCGGTAGTTACGTGAACTTTCTTCATCCAGGGGTAAACTACTGCAGGCTGCTTGGCTTGTATCCCATTTTGGCTCTTTGTGTTTTGCTGTGGTCCACAAGTCCGGGCTCCGGCCCCTTGGACCGGGGTGCCCGGCTCCGGCTGTGCGCTGAAGGGGCTCGGGTGGCCGGACCTCTCGTGGCCGTGTCCGCGTGGCTGCACCGTGGAGTCCGGCACAGTGGTGCAGCTGAAGGGCTGCTCCGTGTAGTTTGACCGTGGGTAGATTCCTGGATGCTGAAAGTCTGTGTCCTGCGATGGACTGTAGTAGTCCGAGCCTTGCTCAGGTATGTAGTTATTTTGCGAATATTCCTCGCAGGGAGGAAATTTGGGGTCCACATACTTAGAGTTCACCATATACGAACTCATGGCCATTAATTTCTGAAGGTAGAAAATACTAATTTTTCTCGAGTTGTCTTTTTTTCCTCCCTCCATAGAGCCCTCCTACTTGGTGTCAACTGAATAAAGTTAGCGAACCATGTGACCAGGTTGGCCAATAGAGGAGATGCTGGTTCAAACACGAGTAAACATACAACTACATGCATTTCCACTAAATAAAGACACTCCAAGTTTATGTTTAAAACAAATGTATCAATTAGGGAAAGTATCCACATTTGGAAAATGAAAAGTGAGACGATGACAAAATTTTCAGAATATTTAACAGGATAATTATTCAGGAAGTCTGAAGTCTGTAAATAGATAGAATTTTTTTTTTTATTGTAACAGCTACTGTTTTATCAGACTTTTTTGAACATACAGAAGTTTCTGTGGTTTGACTTGAAGGCTCAGTGTTCAACAGAGAATCCAACAAAAGATACAAAAGCCCTTTGGCATAAAAGCAGGGAATAATGACGGAGGACAATTGATGGACACTGTCTTTGTCAGGAAGGGGTCATCCAAAAGTTACACGAATCTCATCCCTTCATCTGCTCCTTTCCTTTTGAAAAAACGGTCTAAGGAGCCCATTGGCCAGCAGCAACAGCAGCAGCAGCCTCAGGGAATCAATAATGTAGAGACATAAACGACCCACAGGAGCAGGAAAAAAAGCCACAGCTGGAGCTGCTGTGGCCTCTTTTTTCCTTTAAAAAAACAGCAACTAAATCTATTTGGGTCTTCATTCCAACTTACCGAGCTGAACAAAAAAAATACTCCTGTCCTTGATTATGTTTATTTCCACTTAGAGCACTTGGCGTGATAAGCCCATGGAGTTTGAGGAGTGAAGCGTTGTCAGATTTGCTCTCACTCATAAAGCAGAGCTGTCACCCGAACAGCTGGCGGCACCTCTGGCCTCACGTGCCTGATAAATATGGCAATAGGTCAATACATCGAAGTTTTTTCATCGACCATATACTCCCCTAGAATCGAATCTGTGACTCTGGTTTTATCACACAAATTCGGTTCTACAGGGTATATATAGACGACGGGAAGAGAGGCTGCCCACTTTGAGCCAAACCGCAAAACCGAGCAAGTGCATGGATCTCATTTTAGACTGATATGAACACCCAATACACGGATCTTTAAAAAGAAACCGACGGAAAAAAACATAATAAAACCTAGTAAAGGGCCATTTCCCATGCTCCTAGTGTTCATTTGTCTTTCATGTTTTTATCCAGTTCATTCTCCGTTTAGAGATTTAAGTTTAGGTTTTTGCTTGATGTAGCTTTGAAGAAAATATTCTCGAGCTGTGTCTTAAACGTGTTGTCAGACTGACAGCAAGTCTTTAAGGCTAATCTATCCAGAGCATTACTGTCAACTTCGCCAACAAATGACTAAGGAAACAGTAACTGAGTTCAACACGCCACTTCTGTGCAGCAGGTCTTCTACCTTCCATTTAAACCCACACAATACAACACAAAAGCAAAAAACTCGGATCACAACACCAAAAACAACCATTTCTTCGCCACAGCATTTAAACAACCCAAACAAAACGTTCCTCCTGAGCTCAGATCTGATGTCCAGCCTTTGTCAAACGGCTCAGCAACGCGTCCAGCTCGTGTCCAGATAAGCGCTGGACGCTGGCTGCCTGCACCGGGCAGCTTATCACCACCGGCCGAATGATGAGGCTGGAGGCCACCAAGGTCAACCCCAATCATTTACAAACTCTCCAAAAGTTTAATTATTTCTGCTCCTGCTGACAGCTCAAAGGGAGCAAAAGTTTACCAAATCATCGTCAGCCATTTACTGAGCCGCCACGGCGGGCACTGGGAGGCCTGCTCTGACCCCCCCACCCCCACCCCGAAGATTAATTCATTAAAGCCGAGCCGGATAAAAACTGGTCTGCTTTCTCAAGAAAATGACCACGTCCGAGCAAATAAAATTGGATTGATCAATATCAGACGAAATAAAATGTCCAGCGTCTATAAAGCATTTCAGCAAAAGGAAAACAAGTGCGTGATGTTTCAGTCGTTCTTTGTCTGTCAGATTGAAATAGTAGATGTTTTATTAAGGTTGAAATCCCGCAAGACTTGTCTTTAAAATGCCACACTAAATACAATCACAAAAGAGAATCAAAACATTAAAAATCAGTTGGTAAACTCATCGCTGAATGGTAGAATTTAATTTTTTTTTAATGCCATCATTGACTCTTTTTTTTTTTCAGCTGGAATGGAATTTAAATTTACCACAACAACAGCTTTAAAACGAAGTGTCAAGTTTGATGGAAAAGAGGCAGGAATGGGCCAAATCCATAGACCTCCAGGGATATTTCAGCCCAAAAAAAAACAGAAGAAAAAAAATAAAACTGACATATTCGTTATCAAAGCAGATAAAACCTTGGCAATATACCACGCTGGGGGGAAAATTCGTCCTTGCACTTCACATTTCAATATTTGTGAGACGGCCTGACCTGCCGTTCACCTTCCTCTGCCAGTCCTTCAGACGGGTCAAAGCCGGCACATCCACAACAAAAGAACGATAAAGTCAGCGTTTCCTGCCAGCCCGTGCTAAAGCAAAGGCCAGCATGTCTAGACGGGATCACTTTTCAATTGATCAGAGGGCTTTTTTAAGCCAGGAGGTAGCCAGATAAAGTTATACGGCGAAAATGAGCTATTTTGGTGAAAATGTATGTCAAATTAGGGGACCATTTTCAACAGAAAATAATAACAAATACGCATTTGGTCAGTTACAAACTCTATTTTAAAAAATATAATTTCTCACATTTTTGCTATTGCTATTTTTACATTGTATCCAGCTACATCTTTTGAATTAAAAATAGAAGGCCTGTTGTGGAAAAGGCCCTCTATTTGTGAGACAAATGGTTTCTTGTAACGTGCTGACATTTTTGTATCAATAAAACTGAGGCGACTAAAGAGGGACAAAGAAAATGGAGGAAAGTCCAAACATAGCGATAAATACAAATAAAAGAGCTTTCTTGATCAACACTTCTAGATCGAGGTCTTTAGGTGCTTCCTTAGAGATGACAACAGGTTGCTTTTGCCCAAACCTCGCGCACTAACACATCTAACCCAGCCTCCTCTCTGTTTGTCTGAGGCGCGCTGCTGCCGCTTTTCCAGGCAGGAAATAGTTTAGCCTGAGCGTTACGCATGTGACATCACACGCCCCTACAGCAGGAGCACAACGATAAAAAACGCAGCTTACCGTAGAGCCCGCAACGCAGGGCGCACCGGGCCGCGAACGCATCCATGTTAGGAGCAAAAGCCAAGTCCGGCGCAGCTCCCTGTCAAGTGAAGCGCTTTTCCAGCCCCATCTGGACGCTCTAACTAATACACAATGAGAATTATATTTTGGCTTGTCAAGTCGCAGGCCATAAAACAAACTTTAATGGCGTCACGTGCTTCCTCGCAGCCATTCACAAGGCTGCGCAGGTCCATAAATAATCCTCAAAGTTGCACATACTCAATAACGCCGATTACACTAATGTGCTCACAGGGAAAGTCGTGGAAAGCAGGAAGTTGGGTGCATGATGTCAGCTGACGTGCAGAAAGAGCACTAAAAATAATTATTCATGGAAATGATTCTCGCTTATTTGCAAACATTGAAACCTAGTCGCCATTATCTCTCCCTTGGCAACCTGTTGTCTAGTAAATTATGCAATGATCCGAGTTTTTTTGCTTTTGTGTTTTTTATTCTCCATCAGTCGTGGTTGTATACTTTTGCTTTAAGCTCTTTGGCACTAAATGTGAGGATGCAGCCCTGATTTGTGCTCAGATGCATTTCTCTCCCAAGTGAACCTGCCACTAAGACTGATGGCGTTCGTCCCTGCTGACCAATCCCAGCGTCCAGCGCCTTTTCGCTCCTCCTCTCCCTTTATGACCAAACTACTGAGAGTTGACACTGTTGAGGTTGGATGGCTGCTACTGCCGCACGAGGGGGGGTCAAATCAGACACCTTTACTTGCAGCACGTACATACAAAGTTGTTTCTTGCGAAAGGATTGGGAAGTTACTCCTGTTTCTTTTACGGCAGTTGAATAACTCATCAGCAGATCAGCTCCAACTGTGACCCCTGTTCTGTCTTATTTGTCTCCATCACCATGACCCACAGTCCCCAGCCAATCACCTGTGTGAAAAAGCCTCAGCTGTTGTTGTCACAGAGGCCTCAGTCTGCACTTCGTCTTTAATAAGAGCTTCAATGAAACCCCAACGAACAGGAAAAGAGCCTTTCCAATTGGTTTTCTGGGCCAAATGAGACGCATGTGGGTTTGTACAGCACTTGAAAGCACACACACAACCCTCCGCACCACGATATAGTCTTTATGAATGGTCCCATCTGATGACAAGCTCTGCTTTGTTCTATATTTGAATATGGCACACTGGAAAAGGCCCACAGTCTGTAACGAACTGGGTCACGTGGCTTCTCTCAGCCAGTGGCTGTGCCCGTAAAGGCTGAGCTGAGCGGGAGCTGTGAGGCAGACTGTTGGCCAATAGCGCCTTCTGCTGGCTTTTTGAATGCCTTCCGGTTTTCCATTAAAAAAAAAACACAGTCTACAAAATGTAGTCTTTAATTTGATATTACAGATGCACAAATGAGACAAAGAAACAAAGATCTTTGTTTTAAGTGTGTTTTTTATGCAAGTTGCCTTTACAGGTGAGAGGCTTTTAGGCTCATCTTAGAAGGTCTTTATTAAGTTTAGTGTTGGCATTATACACTAAAGCTGTATGACCATGTTTATTTATCGCTGGTCTGTAAGATTATTTGTAATTTAGATAAAAACTGTGTAAAATCCTTTCTTTTTTTTTTTTGCTATGAGACTTAAACTGGAGGTGACTTGTACTGCAAACTGGCCCATTCCATCCAATAAGATGACAAAAATGATACCAACATTAAAGAGGAAATACTACTCAAACACCTCCAAAGAAGTCACTCTACATGTGACGATTATCTGTGGAGGGAAAGTCTTACTTTATGGCACCGTGATGTTAAAGAGCCTAATAGATGGAGCACAGATCTGAGAAGAGCAAAAGGGAAACTGTGCACATGACCTATTCGTTGAAAAAAACTGCTGAAATTTGTGTTTTACGTTTTCTTAGTTAGTGTTTGTTCAAGTAATATGGGGTGATTAACATTATAAAGAACAAAAATTGGGGTACAAAATAAGATCCAATAAAGCCAAATGGGGGGTGGGGGGTGGGGGGGCTCTGTAATTTTCCCAGGCTCCTGGTTGCGCCTCTCCTCTGTGCAGAGTCCATTTTGCCGCATTGCAGTAAGGTTGTAAATACTTTCGCAGCTGCCTGTCAGACACCAGTGAAATACTGTCTTTGTTCAGTTGGCCCCATCTCCAAGCAGCTGAAAACAGCAACGGGAGCTAAACTACTTTTTCTAGACGTTGAATATGTGGGATAGAATGTAGTCTCTTCTATGCAGATTATTGTGCAGGACTTGGTGCCTGAGTTTCTATTTGACCAAAAAAGTCAAATGAGTCTGGAAACTGGTGAACGGAGAGGAAAGGCTTTGTAATCGAAATTAGAACTATTAAATGAAAAACCGTGAGTTCTCCCCCCAAAAAATAATTTGATCTTTTACATCAATAATACTTCCAACATCCTCAAACTCTTATATATTATTAAAGGCATGCAATAAAGGGATTAATTATTTGAAGATAGGTACGATCTCAAAATATTACCTTTAGCAGTTGGCTTTCATTCTTACAGCTTAACAACAATGTAAAAAAACATTTCAAATGACCCCTAACATAATTATCTGGATGTGGTTTGCGTATAAAACAATTTATTACAGAACACCTCGCAACACGTGTAGTCATCAAATTACCCGACATTTCCTCACTGCTAATTTACATGACTAATGAAACAGGAAGCTGTCAAACATCTCTCCCACACAGAAACACGCACCGACACCCGCGCGCTCCCAAACACACGCGT